GCTCAACTACACCCGCAGACTATAACTGGGGAACCTGTTGAAAGACCACTAAGACGTTAGGTTAATAATATTAAGTTAAGAGTCGCACTGTTACGACTGTTAAGAATATTAAGTTAAGACTGGTAAGGCTGTTGGCTGTGAGACTGGTATGGTAGTTAGGTGTTAGGTTAATAATATTAAGTTGAGACTGGTAAGGCAGTCTCTAAAAATAGGGAAATTAATTACATTGTCACAAAATGACAAAAAAGTCTGATAGAGGGCCACCATAGGTACATGATATGCAGTATACACCTTATTAATTTATTGAATACCATCAGTTTTCCAACATTACAATATATGTCTATTGATCAACATGTGGGTTTATACTTTGAGAAAGCTGACGAATAATAAATACAAGCCGGTAGGCTGGTTGGTGATCTGCTCCGCTCAAAAAAAATGTTTTGGGCCATGGTAGGACATGAACGTGAAGCTAACGTCGGTTTATCACTAAAACCGGGCCCCGTAGACAAAGTTCGTTAAAAAACAATAACTCTTCAGAAGTCACTTCACTTTATTACTAGCACATATTCTGCTGTTATAATTATTATTTTCGACCGTTTTGCTATGGTATTTTCTAGATTCTTTGATTGAACGAATCATGTACAGTTCAAAGTTGCGTTGGGGTTACGTTGATACAGTTACAGTAGGACTATGATACAAAGACAGTGCAACAATGTCGGCGCCGGTGATCTATGTTGGTGCCAACTTAGCCAAACTGAAAAGCATTATCATTTGAACACTGCTATTGGGGTGAAAGTATTCAAAAATCTGTTTGTTTTTTTTTTGGCTGTTTCTATTGCAACCGTGAGCGGTATGGACTGCCTGCCAGAATGAACAAAATCGGCTAAGCCAAAAAAATCACAGAAGAGTTAAAAAACCGTTACTGGTGAAAAGTTATTCCAACTTTGAGTTCAAATTACTCGGTAATGAAAAAAAGCATCAACAAAAACAAATAGTATTAAAGGTATCATTTGTTGGCTGTTGCCATGGAAACGGTGGGCCAGGATTTTTTTTTCAGTAATGAATTTCTCGGTAATGAAAAAAAAAATAGAAAAAATTAAATAGTAACTTTGTGCCCACACTCAAGCTGAGTAGAATGAGCTAGCGGAGCGGATCGACAACACCCCCCCACACACACACACACACACCCACACACACAAGTGATTTGAGGCAATCCTAGCGAAGAGGGTCGCCAACAACAGTGATTTTAAAGGCATTCCTAGCGGCGTGGGACGTCAACAATGTATACTCTCTAAGGGTTTGATTGGATGATTTACAGTCGTTCCAAATACCTGTCCAGCCAGTTGTTTTGAATGAGGGTCGGCAAGGGGTATTTTCGTAAGCTGTAATCAATTGTTTTTATTTTCGTAATAATGTAATTTAAATAAATAAATTCGTAGACATGGACAAGTTGTAAAATGTAATTAGCTATTTTATTCGTCCGTAATTTGTACAATGATCTTATTTCTTGTAAACATTATAATTCAAGCTTTTCCCACGTTAAATGTTGTAATTCGTGCGCAATTTCCAATTTTGTTTTCATATCAAAATTATCATTGCAAGTACATTATAAAACTATAAAATGTAATTAGAAATTTGCATTATCTGTAAAGTGTAAAAACTTATTTTTTACTATAAAAGAAACTTTTCATTTTAACCTGTAACCTGTACTAGCTACCCCCTTGTTCCCTTCTCAACTGGCGTGTAACGATTTTTGGTTATTCCACTGAACTATGACCTAATTGTCATGCTGAAACCGCCAGTGAACGGATATACCTCCATTGATTCATTGTCAAATAGTGTCAATAGAACTGTTGTACACTGCAAACAATACGTTGAATACCAGTCCGTGGAGAGACTTTGCTTGAACTTGTTTTTTTATCTGGGCTTTGTGGATAACACTGTGATTGCTGGACGTCGATCAGTTGCCGAGACCAAGACGTAAGTGCTATGTTATTTATTCAAACGTAGGAGTCATCATATATTAAAAATGCATAATAACACATCGATAAGCCGTATTTCGTCACACCGCTTTTTTTAGTGACCGAGGTGTGGTCCCTTCTTTTGGAAATTCCAGAGTTTCGGCGAACAATACTAGTTGATTATAGCACAATCTTTTGTCGAGGGACTGTGATTATAGTGACGTCCCCGTAACATTTTCTGATAGCAATAACTGGGAATCTATGAGCGATACTTTGAAATAGTTTACAGTACAAACTCAACTGAATCAAGCTTAGTGTTCCATTTCAATCATTTTTTTCACATATAAATAATCCACAGAAACTAGTTTAGTACATTGTGCACAGGAAATTAGACATGTAGTATTATTTTCACATTAACGTGAATAAATACTGTGAAGACTGTATCTATTTTTAATATCTGAGCCGTTCAAGAATTTCTTCCGAAAACAAGACAGTTT